TTCAAAAGGGCAAAGAAAAAACAAAGATTTAATGGAGATGAAAAAAAAAACGAGGGTGGGGTTGCCCTCGTATGCAGTGCCCAGGCTGGTTCCTTTCCTTTCCTTTATAAAAGTTCGACCCAGCAATGCACATGTGCTTCACCCTCTCCTCTTTTTTCTTTCTCTCTCACTTTTCTGACACATAGTCCCCGGAATCTCAATTTCCGACCGGTCATATTTCCGTCAAAGAAGCTGACACAACCTTTCTTTTCCTCCTTTAACTCTTTCTCATATAACATCTCTTGGTTACACATTTCACAAACCAATAAAAGCACTCTTACCCTGCAATTCTTCCACCTACAACTGCACTCAAATTAACCTTTGCACCACACATAACAGTAGGCACCACTCACCACTCACCACTCTCCTTTCTTTCTATTCTCTCTACTTATTTATCAAATCTCACACCTTACCACATGCATAATCATACTTACTATATATCATCAAAATTCAAAATCCTCCTTTCTGCATCTATTCGTTTTAATATTATATATATACATATCATGCAATGCTATAGCTATACGTTTCTTTTATGGTTCCCAAAAGGTAAAAGGTCTCGTAGTGTTCCCCCCTTTTGACAATCAGTGGCACGCTTTCAAAACTCGTTTCACTTCTGATGCTCCTTTCTTAAAGGCACTGAGTGAGGAGTACTCTTTTCTTAGAGTAGTGTTCTTTCATACATGCTTTATCAATAGCAGAAAGTGAACCATCCCTAATAACCACCTGGTCTGGTCTCCTCAGGTCCCCAAATCTATGTTCCCCCAACTTCTCTTTCTTTGCTTCCTCTTCCTATCACACCATCTTCCTTCTCTCAACCTCAACCAATTCTAAAATCTCGTTAACTCCTTCGCTATTTCTCATAAATTGGTCCATGCATGCTGAACTGGTAGTAGTCCTTGTTTCGATTTACTTTTCTCTCTCCCATCAATTACTTAAAAACATTGCTTTTTGAGGTTGTTTCACTTCTGTTACAAAACAACATGTCTAGTTTCACTGAATCCAAACAAGAAAAGAAAGTCCTCTAGACTAGTTGCCTTTCAATATATATAAATATATATATGAATGAAGCTTTCAATTCAGAGTATCAGATTCAGGCTATAGAGTTAGCACATATAGCTTCATTGCTTCTCACCACCCCAATTCCTATATATGCTAATGTATTGTCCCGTGTCTTTAGCGTGATAAATCAGTTTTAGCTTACTTTAAATGTAATGTCATCCACTAAAAACTAGCAGTCTATGGCAGCAGAAAATAGTTGCAAGTGTAGATTGAAACGTTTTGGTGGTCTATAGCTAGCTGCATGCCGTTCACACTCATGTCTTTCAACACCTTAAATGAAAGGCTGTTTGTTATAGTATAAACCATTTACAGTATATAACATTATGTGTACGTTGATTGGAAGCAGGTAAAGGGGAAGTTGGAGGTTGAAAGGTTGAGTTCGTAGTTGAAGTTTGGCGTAGTTAGAGCACACAGTTGCAGGCATTAAAAGCAAAGGCAGCAGTTACAACAATTCGCACGGATTGCTGCATAAGATACATGGCGTAAAGCACAAGGTTTGTTTTTCTACTTACTATGCTCTCTCTCTATTTTTTCTCATTCAGACCAGTCATACTCATAATTATCTTTTAAGTTGAAAACAATATTTTGGTATTTCTTTTATAAGTTTTGGCACACTCTATGCACCTAGCTGGTTGATGTCTATGTATGGTGTTTCCCCCAATGTTCATAACCCAGAAACTAGTAAGACAGTGGGTTTAATGTATGACTCTCCTGAATTATTCTTTTCCTTTTTTTGTTCTTGTTTGTTTTCATTACGTGCCTAAATATCTCTTTCAATAATAATATTCTCCCAGAACTAGTACTTCACCTGCTCAATCTTACCATTTAAATTCAAAATAATTCAGAACACAATTATATATATATATATATATATATTAAAATTCCCTAAGCATTAGATAAAACCATATATGCAATGACAGATTATTTTATATATATAAGCGTTAATAATCATCACATTAAATAAATAAAACAATTATTTATTTCTTCGAAATTTGTCTAATATATATGCTCTTTAAATTTTGTTATAAAATAAAGTTAAAGTATCTTTTACTTCATTCACATAAAATATAGTAATAATTTTTTCTTGAATGCGTAGAGTGTAGGTTAAGGAAATAAATATGTTTTTTAAGTGAAAAAGAAAAATATTATCATATTTGAAACGAAAATAAACCACTTTTTATTTTTTAAGTAATCAAAGTACTTAACGGTGTGTATTTAATACTTTTAAAGCTCACACACGAATACAAACAAAATAAAAACTACATACTACATTAGAGTATGACTTATTTTACCAAAATATCTAATTTTCTCCGTCTTGAATTATCAATGATATTAAAAATCATTTACATGTTGAAATTAACTTTTGTAATATTTTCCTTAATTATTTTTTACACAAATATTAAAATATTAAATATATAACATTTGATTTTTGTAAAACTGTAATACACACTTCTAGTATAATTATCGTCTATTAATCAAAATTTCTCTCATTTAGAATGTTGAAATTAACTTTTTGTAATATTTTTCCTTAATTATTTTTTACACAAATATTAAAATATTAAATAACATTTCATTTTTATAAAACTGTAATACACACTTCTAGTATAATTATCGTCTATTAATCAAAATTTCTCTCATTTAGATTTACTTTTTATTTTTCTACTCCACAATTAATAGTTACAGGAGTGACAAAAAAAATATTGGGACCATAAAATAAAATAAAAATATTATTAAACAGAATTAATAGAATGGATTAGTGTTTCTATTAATTTTCAGAGTCAATATGAAGTGGTACTTCCTAAAGAAAAGCTTTTTTATATTCCGAAATAGTGATCACGATGAATTTCAGGTAGTATGATTATTTTCATTTGTTAATATATGCCTTATTATTGGTTAAATCTTTTTCAGCCTATTTTTCTATGAATTTTAATTTTATAAAAAATTCTTACATAATACCCCCTCTTATGTATAGAAGCAAAATTAATTAGTTTCATATTTATTAAAAACGATAGTTAGGCTCATTTAATATTATTAATTTCTTACTAGATAGGATTATAATTTCTAAATTACTTTTAGTCGTATTTATTGGAGATAGTTCATTATTGCATAAATATACAAATATTTTTTAAATAACATCATCAAATAGAGTTTTAGGAATTAAAATTTATTTATATTTGATTCAATCAATGTAATAACTTTTTTATGCGAATAGAGAGAAAGTCTATATTTAATATTTAAAAATATAAAATGTTAACATTTTCTTCATGCACTATACGAATATGTTATAAGACGACTAAAAGTTTTATATCAATCATAAGCTTTCTAATAGATAGAGCTTTTCCTTGAGAAATCTGAACAGACATTTTGGGCAATAGGAACTTTTGTCGTACATTATACAATTTTTTGATAAAAAAAATTCTGTAATTTTAGTTCCCTAACTTTTAATAATTTATTATTCTAATATTGATTATTTTTATACAATTGTTATATCTTAATTTTTCCTTAATAACTTCTTTGTCTGTAACTTTTTGTTACTTTAAACATATTGAAGAAAAAACATACGTTTCTCGTAGCTTTCTTTTTTACCTTATTACGAAATGTAACTTGAGAGAGATTTAATATATTTGCACCCCTATCATCAAAGCTACAGTTATTTATTTATTTTATTTTTGTGAAAGAGAAAGAGAGCATAAATGTTTATATTTTGAAACACCCCTTGGACCTCGATGGTGTTTTTTTGTCGTACCTATGAATATGATCAAGGAAAGGAATCTGGGCCAGGAATCTTTATTTCATCATGATCTTAGTAAGATCGCCTTAGGTGAAGGAGTTGGTGCTCAATCAGGCAAACAATGCAACACATATCATATATACAAAATATCACACGACAGTGACACTTTCACAACTCACTTTCTATTTTTCTTATAAAATCAATATATTTCTTCTTTTTTAGCATTTCCACTGTCAATGTACGGTTCCCTTTTCAATTTTCTTTACTTTTTTAAGTTTAAACATGACAAATTTACATATCCAAAACAGAGAAAAAATCCAGTAACCAAACTGGCAAAATCTACTTCATTATAACCATTAATTAATTTCAGGGTTCAAAGCATACTCTTTTTTTCTGAGAAATAACCGCAAGTTAATGATTGTAATGTAGTTTAAGAATTTATTTAACATTTTTATTTCGGGAACTGATCATGATATATAACAACATCTACCACCTTCAATGGCTAGAGTGACTGTTTACTAAAACAAAATATTGATGTGTAATTATATGTTAGGTTGATAATTTATTGCAAAATGATAAAAGATGACGAGGTAAGTTTTGTTCACGTGTGATAGAACAAATGTTGGTTAGATTATACAAGAAAAAGAATAAAAATAAGCTTGGTTAAGTATACAAAAGTAGATAAAATAACCTTAATTGTCATATTCAAATATTTTCATAACAATGATATAAATCAATATAATTTCAAAGAAAGGGATAATGATGCATATAATAAGAGGAATCACATTAAGAGATGGTAGTGGTAAGTATGAGTTATATCTAAATGATGTGTTTTGTCTGAGGGTCGCTTGGTCACGTGACATGGTGAAAACGATTGTAGGTAAGAGAGGTGTGGTTTGGGGTTTGTAGGGTGTAGTAGGTCTCTGGCGAAGGTTTCTGTTTTTGTGGATTTTTTAGTACATGAGCTGATAGGAAATAGTTTTGTCTAAAGACTTTTATAAGCTTTGAATTTTGTTTGACGATGCTTGAAAATCATGGATCCTTTCCTTTGATCTTGAAGCTATCTGGTTTGGTTTGATTAGATGAATAAAATGAGAAGTGAAGTTGAGGTAACTATATATGAGAGTTGTTAAATGGAGAAAGCATAAAGAAAATCAGAGAGGAAGAAGGTTGGAGGAGGGGGGCCTGGGCATCCCCAGTGGGAAATTTTACAGCTTAGATGTGACAAAATCGAAAGAAATCAAATGACATTGACCAAAGAAACAGTCAGACAGGTAGCTTGAGCCACAACAACATGAGTATGCAAATTAATGCCTCTTACCAATACATCCAATAACAACATTAATTCTCTTTTCTCTCAGCAGCAATAATGTTGTCATAGGAACAAAATCTGAAACCTTTGCTGCTTGCCATACAGTGAGGTTTGGTTCAGGAATTAATAAGGGCACGAAAGTCTTCACATGGGTGGTGTTGTTCATTTATAATGAACAATTGTTTGTTTCTTTTGTTATGGAAGGAGTTTTTGATTTTATATATAGATGTTGTATCTGTCGTGTGAAGCCAGTGAAAGGGACAGGACACATGATTGTTCTTGGTGTCTTTGTAATGATCCGAAATAGTTGAAGAGAGTTACTATCACTTGTACCATTCTTGGGTATCCCTAGTTCCCCCATCTCCCCATCCAAAAGGCCACAAAAACAAAGAGAAAAGGGCCAAAATCCAATTTATTTATTTATTGGGACAGGCACACCATAGTTTGCAGCATTTACCCTTGGGTGCACGTACAACTGACATTGGCATTTGGCATTTGGCAGGCAGCCATTATGGCATGTTCATGCATACTGTCCGGATATCCAAGCACAACCAAGCTTCAAATTTTGTTTTGACTCCTTCCTTGCTCCTGTTTTTTATGCCTCTTGTCTCTGCTACTGCTACCCTCCTTTCTGTTCTGTGTTCTGGTGTGGTGTGGTGTGGTGTGCTTACTCAATCTGCTTTAGGGTCCCGTTCTGTCGTTTTAATTCAACTTGGGAAGGAGTTAAAGCTCCTTTGTGCTCGCTGAAAAGGGTATTTATACATGCAATCTTACAAACTCTCCTGCCAAGAACTTGGAGTAGGGTAAAATTCAAACATCCTTTTGGGACCACCAAATTTAAAGCCCCCTTCGACTATTACTATTCACTCCCCACAAACAAATAATTTACTATACTCCACCGCAACCATTTTTTTTTTCTTTCACTACCATATCATGTGCTTCTCAGCTTATGGAACATTACATTTTTTTAAGGAAAGTGGAGATGGTGCTGGTGTTGCTGTTGGGGACTTGAGTGCAAACTTTTTATTATTATATATGTGCCCATAAGCATCAAAGAGTGGTAAGTCAAAATTAGGCCATCACACTGTTCCAATGGGAGCAACGATGGTTATTAGAATTTTATAGGAGATTGTTGGTTCTTTTGCATGTATGCACGTCACTTTATTTTTCTTCCCATCTTTTCACTTTCAGTTTCAGAGAATGTACAGCGCCTAGGGGAAGATGAAACACTGTCGAGATTTGATGCCATGCCATACCTTTCTTTCTTTCTTTCTTTCTTTTTTTTTATTTTCCCTTCTTTTCAGCTTTCAGCCGTTACAAGGCCTCTTCATGCCTTTCCCACTCTTGTACTTTCTTTAACTCTTGTCTTCCTTCAAGACAAGTGCATATAAGCTGAGTTATGGTTCTCAGTAAAAACGTGGAACCTGCTTTGCCATAAACCTTTTAGTTTATCCCTTGTTGGAATCTCTCACCTCTTGCTCCTCCATCTCCACTTTCAGACTTACGTAAGTGAAGCTTCTTTCCTTATTTTCTTCAGAACTATTTGGCAAGTTCAATGAAGGATCCAGCGGAGGATCAAGTGAAATCTAGAAGGGCCCTTCAGAGACCAAAAGACCTTAGAAGAAGAGATAGAAGAAGAGGCCAATGCAAGCAAGATAAATTACAAGAAACAGGACTTGACTCACAATTCATTTCCTCTGCTTGCAAAAGTCTTGTGTTTCCTGCCAGACCTGGCTATGGCCAGCTGGGGACAAAGTGTCTGGTCAAAGCTAATCATTTCCTGGCAGATATATCAGCTTCTGACTTGAGCCATTACAATGTAAGTCCACCTCTCTGGTAAAGATAAAATCTAGAGCAGCAAACTGATGCAAACTAGACAGACTAATAATTTGATTTGAGTCCGGGGTTTTTGCTGAGGTTATCGTGTGTGTTTTGTGAAGGTTACAATAACACCTGAAGTCACTTCTCGTAAAACAAGCAAAGCCATCATATCTGAGTTGGTGAGGCTTCACAGGAACACTGACTTGGGGATGAGGCTTCCTGTTTATGATGGAGGAAGAAATCTCTACACTGCTGGTTTGCTTCCATTTGCATACAAAGAGTTCTCCATAAAATTGAGCCAGGATGACGAGGGTACTGGTGGTACCAGGTGATGATTGTTCAAGTAACTATGTCATGATGTTTTGTTCATAATGTTTTGTTCCTAACAGCTCCCCAAACTTTTGGAGTTTGAAAGTGGACTTTTGAGTTATTAAAGTAAAAAAAAGAGTTTTAATCACTCTTGCCAGGGAAAGAGAATTTGAAGTGGTGATAAAGTTTGCAGCTCGTGTCAGCATGCATCAATTACGTGAGCTTCTGAGTGGGAAACAAGTGGACACCCCGCAAGAGGCGCTTACTGTCATTGACATTGTATTGAGGGAGCTTGCAGCTCAGAGGTGCATTTGTGGTTGTTCTTTCGACATTGTATCCGTTGCTTGCTCTTTAACTGAAGGAAGCTATTGTACTATATTCTTGTTTCAATGTTTCTTAGGTCTTATTTTGCTTGTATTGCATGTTCAGCTTCGTGTCAATTGGGAGGTTTCTCTATTCTCCGGATTTAAGAAAACCACAGCAGTTAGGTGGTGGTCTGGAATCATGGCGCGGCATCTACCAAAGTATAAGGCCTACTCAGATGGGATTGTCCCTTAATATTGGTGAGAGTTGTACCATATATATATCTTCGTTTTTTTTTTTAATTTTACGTTATCAAGGTGAGATTTTTTAATACTGTCACTGATAATAATTTGTCAACAGTAAATACTAAAACGCTTCTTCTTCTTTTTTTCCTTTCGATTTTGATGCTTCTTTGTCTCAGACATGTCATCAATGGCTTTTATTGAACCACTCCCTGTAATTGACTTTGTTGCTCAAATTTTGGGAAAAGACGTGCTCTCAAAGCCACTGTCAGATGCAGATCGTGTCAAGGTATGGAGTTTACTATGGGAGCTATCAATCTTTGTAATTACAGATACTATATTGTCCACACAAGTTGAATGAAATAAGTGATGCTTGCATGCCCTATGGTCTTCACTAACTCCGTCTTGACTATATTTGCTTGAGTAAAGACATTTGGAGTTTCAGATTGAGATTTAAAACGTAAAAGTGATATATTCTGCAAGGCCGAGAGCCCCTGTGCTCCAAAGGCATGCTAATGAATGTAATGCAAAAGTTTTCTTATTCTGCTCCAAAGGCGTCAAGTAATGGTTGAGGTTGTCGATTAAATGTCTTAAATCTAGTTCGTGTTCTCGGCTATGGAAGAATTTAATTGATGAATTTTCTAGTTTAGAAACCATGAGAAATATTTAAGCAGATCTGACCAAAAAATCATTGTGGTGTCACTAATGCAGATTAAGAAAGCCTTAAGAGGTGTGAAAGTCGAAGTTACACATAGAGGAAGTTTTCGAAGGAAGTACAGAATTACAGGATTGACATCACAACCTACAAGGGAACTCAAGTATGGTTTTGTAACTTTTGCAGTCGAAAATGGAAGTTTTTAGATTTACCTCTCAAGGAATTGTTGTCTCTTTTATTCCCAACAGTTTCCCTGTCGACGAGAAAATGAACATGAAATCAGTGGTTGATTACTTTCAAGAAATGTATGGATATACTATTATATATTCTCATCTACCCTGCCTTCAAGTAGGAAGTCAAAAGAAGGTGAACTATTTGCCTATGGAGGTAAGCTCTTCCTTCAATTTATTAAACCTACTTTTTTTCTTTGGACTTTATTTTTTAATGAACAATTCGTCGTGAATCTTATCCCAGGCATGTAAGATAGTTGGAGGTCAGAGATATACAAAAGGACTTAACGAAAAGCAGATAACTTCTCTGCTGAAGGTCTCATGCCAGAGACCACGTGAACAAGAGACAGACATTCTACAGGTCATTGTCATGGATTCTTGATATCACTCTCCAACCTTTATTTTCTTCTTTATACTTTTATTTTTGTCAGAATCAATTGGGAACGGAAGAGCAGTGACATGTGTGATAAATTCCAGTTGTTTTAAGTTCACTTTTTAAGTCATTTATTCTCTTCACAACCAGAAGAATTATGTGTATTGTGGTTTGGTTTGACTAATTTATAACTTTCCCTATGTACTACCAGACACTTCAAGAAAATAATTATGAGTATAATCCCTATGTAAAGGAGTTTGGTATCAGCATTGACAACAAACTTGCATCAGTTGAAGCTCGGGTTCTTCCTGCTCCATGGGTAATTCCTATAGTTAAATTGGCCAATTATTTTTTAGCTTTTGGCATTCTGCTGATAGTACATTTTGGCTATTCTATCTTCGAAGTTGAAATATCACGACACTGGAAGAGAGAAAGAACACTTGCCACAAGTTGGTCAATGGAACATGATGAACAAGGTTAGCTCATACACTAAAAAGTTATAGTTATAATTTTTTAACATTAGAGTAAAAGTGCTTGTTCCCACTTCTACTTTGTTATTTCAATGTAGAAAGTTATAAACGGAAGCACTGTAAGATATTGGGCATGTATCAATTTCTCACGAAGTATCCAAGAAATTGCTCGCGGGTTTTGCCAACAGTTGGTTCAAATGTGCCAAATCTCAGGCATGGTAAAGTTTCAAATTTTGATTATACCATTTTGAGTAGTTTTACATTTGAGACTGCTTGTTTGAGCAGCACTAGCAACTCCCATCACTTTTCCAATTATAACCATTCTTTCTCGTTATTCTATATCATTATCAATTTATCATGCACACTTGTATACATTTTTTCACTTTTCACAGGAATTTAGTCTAGATCCTGTGATTCCTATATACACAGCAAGACCTGATATGGTAAAGAAAGCCTTGAAGTACGTACATTCTGCTGTGCGAGATAAACTTGGTGGGAAAGAACTAGAGTTGTTGATTGCCATTCTTCCAGACAACAATGGCTCTCTGTATGGTATGATTCCAAGTCACTCCAATATGTCCAGTCATTAGCATCAGTTCGTGAACATAGCTACCATGGTAGAGGTGTATATAGAAATGTTAAGAGGTTCTAGTAGTACCTCACTACTAGATCACCTTTCTTTGTTTTACATGCATGTGAAAATTGGAACTTTTGCACTCTAAGAGATTCTAGTATCTTACTACACATTCCTTGTCTTTCCAAGAAAAAGAGCCTGAGCATTTTATCTTCTCCATGATCATGCCAATCGATAACTCCATACTTGCTCGCACTTAAAAATCGAATAATTGTTTCAGGTGATCTCAAAAGAATCTGCGAAACAGATCTGGGGTTGATTTCTCAGTGCTGTCTTTCAAAACACGTGTTCAAGATCAATAGACAGTATCTGGCAAATGTGGCCTTAAAGATCAATGTCAAGGTCTGTTCTTAACTTAATATATACCTAAAATTATCTATGAAAATTACTATCCGAAGTAAGAGAGAGGTTACTTGCTACTCAATAATCCTCGCCCACCTTTCTTTTTTATATTTTTAAATTAATCTTACATATACTTTTAGTTGGGAGGAAGGAACACAGTACTTTTGGATGCCTTGAGTTGGAGGATCCCATTGGTTAGTGACATTCCAACAATAATTTTCGGAGCTGATGTGACTCATCCAGAATCTGGAGAGGACCCTTGTCCATCCATTGCTGCTGTAAGTATTTCTAAAGTCCTATAGGCTATAACTTACACCTTGCCATATATTTGGTCTTCTGATTACTGCTATTCAGGTTGTAGCCTCCCAGGACTGGCCGGAAGTAACAAAGTATGCAGGATTAGTATGTACTCAGCCTCATCGTGAGGAACTCATTCAAGATCTTTTTAAATGTTGGAAGGATCCTCATCATGGTGTAGTTTATGGTGGCATGATCAGGTACGTAGTAGCAGCCTGACGACTTTCATATTTGGATTAAGTGGAAGGTCACGCTTGCCTCCAAATTTTGTTTTGGTTTAGAATAATATAGATTTTCCTCAGGTATTGACTTGGTTGTCTTGTTAAGCCTGAAAATGTCTTTGTTTACATTGTTTAAATTGGCCGATGAGAAAGGTTTTTGTTAGTTCTTCCTCCAGCTTTTCCTTTTCACTTGATGGTTTTGCATTGATTACCTGTAATTATATCTTGAATCATACTATTATGTTCTATTGCAGAGAGCTGTTACTCTCGTTTAAGAAGGCAACTGGACAAAAACCACTGAGAATAATATTTTACAGGTAAGGTTGTTCAGTTCTAATATTTGAAGAAAAAAAAAAGAAGTGTTCTTGCAAAGGAAACTAGGGACTTGGACATATTACGGTCATACAAGTGGAATAATGGAGGATGGTCTATATTATTTATAGTCATTAAATATATTTACAGGGATGGCGTAAGTGAAGGACAATTCTACCAGGTTTTGTTGTATGAGCTTGATGCCATTCGTAAGGTACTTGAATATATTGCAGTTATATTTATTTACATTTTCTTGGACCATGAATGCTAGCAAAACACTCTGACCTTGTTTCATGCTTTCATTGCTAATGTGTAGGCTTGTGCATCTTTGGAACCGAGTTACCAACCTCCGGTAACATTTGTTGTGGTTCAGAAACGGCATCACACCAGACTATTCTCAAACAATCATGACGACAGAAACAGCACTGATAAGAGTGGGAATATCTTACCTGGTAATAAAATTTTACTTCCATTTTCTATCGTTAGAGCATGTCACCAATCCAAGGATGTTCATGAGATCCAACAGGGCATACAACAACCTTGCTTGACAAAATAATGTTATTTATACAACAATCCCCACACAATGTTTCTCTCTACCTCTTTCCATCGCATCGCCAAACTTTGATTTTTAATGTAGGTACCGTGGTGGATTCCAAGATCTGTCATCCGACGGAATTCGATTTCTATTTATGCAGTCATGCTGGAATTCAGGTATCATAGTGATATCTATGTGGCTACACTAAAGGGATATGTTAGTCTTAGGTTGAACTTTGATTTTGTTCCAATACAAATACAAAAATAAGATATTCGTCTCTTGTTTTATAACCAATCAAATGGGGCATCGGAGGAGGGTATAAGAAAAATAAGATGTTAAAGAATGATATTTGTATCGGATTCACATAAATGCAATTTACAGGGTACAAGTAGACCAGCTCATTATCATGTTCTGTGGGACGAGAACAATTTCAGTGCTGATGAGATTCAATCTCTGACCAACAACTTGTGCTACACGTAAATAACCTCTCTCAATCATCTAAAACTTGTTGCTCCATTACTATGATGAAATAATCTTATTATTTTGATTGTAGATATGCAAGATGTACTCGATCTGTTTCTGTAGGTAAGTCTTTTGGCTCATGAATAACATTTGTACTTGTATCAGTTGTATCATCATTTACCTGTTTTAATCTTTCATACACATTGTTTGAACAAAAACAAAATCTTGGAATTTGGGTATTGATAATTTGTATGTTATGTGTACAGTGCCTCCTGCGTACTATGCTCACTTGGCAGCATACAGAGCTCGTTTCTACATGGAACCAGATGTTCATGAGATTGGTAAATCTCGAGGTGGTAGATCAAAAGATGAGTCAGTTCGGCCACTACCAGCTCTGAAAGAGAAGGTGAAGAATGTGATGTTTTACTGTTGAATGAGAAGCGATAGAGAGACTTCCACGTAGAGAAACAGCAGCATATGTAGGAAAAGGAAATTGAAATTAATACAAGATGTACAACCTAACCTGCTCATAATTCATAATTCTCTGCATGGAATTTTTTGACCAAGTCTAGGTTGTTTTTCAGTCTTTCTAGTGCTTAGGGAAGCTTATTATGTAGAAATTACTCGTATATCGGTTTTCGAGCTTCAGAGCATGTGCTGGTGGAATTACCTTATATTTTAACATGAAGTGAAAAAAGGTCTAAAAATAGTGAAATTGTTAAGCACTATTGTTTGGACTAAACACTATAAGTTCATACTCCAATCCTTTTATAAATTAAGTCAATTTTCTCTCAAACTCAAGATTTTAAATGTTTACTAAATAGGTCTCTTAAATAATCTCATATCTTTATACGTCATTAACATTAACTTTTAGAATTTTTGAAATATAACTGAGCCCAAGAATGCTACTTACTGAAAATTGTTAGTGGATATCTATTCTTAATATGCATAAACAACCAAAGCACCGGTGGAGGTCAAATACTCGTTTTGTTTATGAAAATATTTTCTGTTTTTACTTTATTTTCAATTTTAGAAAACTCTGTGCTTCTTATATAAGCTTTTGAAAAGAAAAAAGAATATGCCAAGGAAAACCATTTATATATCACGTTGATCTAACAGGGCAGGGCTTGATTTCATAATGTATTATATGTTGGAAAGATAACAAATAATAACAACTGGAAACAAAATCTTGGTTAATTATTTATTATATAAATAATATGTAAAATATTGGAATGTATATAACAAAAAAAAAATCGGCAAACATCAAAGTTTTTTAAAGTGGGTAATATGAAAGCCAAAAATGACTTCCATAACTTGAAAAGGTTTAAGAAAAAATAACTACAGATTTTACAATCATTTCACATTTATGAACTCTTTAGTAATGACCTATTGTACGTGATATTGAGCATCAAATAAAGGTTCATTGAAATCTAAATTATAATCATGAGATTTACTTTCAAGTAATAAGGTAAAAATCAATAAGATTGTTTTTTCTTTGTTAAGATGAGAACTTTTGTTAAGCAAATAGAGAGTTTGATTGTTTTCACATTAACTTTTGTTAAGCAAATAAAGAACTTGGTTGTTTTCTCTTTGTTAAGATGAAAGTGCTTTATAGTTGTGTAAGATTGTATGAGTTTCATTATATAAAGTATAATATCTAGCATTCATTATAAGATTATAGAAAATAAGGTATTAGAAGTGATATTTAGCATTTATTATAAAAATCTAGAAAATAAAATATTAGAAATGATAGTGTATAAGTAAAATTTTAATTAACGATTTTTATTATAAAATAATACTATCTCTCTAAAACATTTTCTTTAAAAGCTCTCTACCCTCTTTGAGCATTCTAACTCGTAGTAATTTTTAAATAAAATTATTTAAAAATTTAAAAATATTTTATGGGTAAATGTATAAAATCTTGAATTACTCTCCCAATGATAATACACTACCGCGCGTCATCATAGATATAGAAAAGGATTTGGTCGCCTATTTAGACTTTGACCTGAATAATATCTGGTTTAATAAAGAATAATCAAGAAGGAAATCACACATCAATAACTGAATAGACAGAGGCATAATGATGGATGGATAATCAACGTTTCTCTCAGTCAATCCTTCCTAATCCCTCAAGTAATGCTCAAACAGTTTAGTCTAAGTTATTGAATTTTAGAGAATGCCAATTTTCTCAGAGAGATGTTAAAAATACCTTTCTCAAAGACAACCCACTGTTTAAACTTCAGAGGCTGAAATCTCAGAGGACTGCTTCATAGCTCTCCCAAAATAAACTGGTTTAGACCCTCCAATTCAATAATGTATAACCTGGTTATACTATTGACATGCAACTATTCTTGATATCTGTGAAAATATTACACTGCGAGGCATTTCATCTTGAAATGAATTATCTACGTAATTTGGAAGAAACTGCAAGTCAAGTTTTGTTGTGATCTGTTTGGGAGCAGAGAGATTCAGCACTAATGTTTTTCATTCACATGCCTTGCATGGTAGTACAACACAATTCCATGGTTTTATAACAGCACGAAATAATTTAGCAGAGCGGTTTGAAGACGTTATTTCCATCTCCGGTATTATGAAAATGGAAATCGAAGTCTAAACCGTGCTCTGCAGGAGAAGTGATAACAGAGCAGAAGTAATTGGAAGCCGAAGCCTCTTATCAGAAAACCCTCGGGGTCAATTGAGAATTGCATGGTGTTATTTCCACGTGACCAGTGCAACACCGCAGGGAATAGGGCCGCAGCCAGTGGCATGTAACAATGAGTTACATTTCCATCAAATTAATCATGAAATTTGAATAGCATTTCATGAAACCAAGCTTTTATGAGATGCTCTGGACCACAACACCAATGTCAACTGATATCTCTAGTCTCTGGTGGAAACAAGTTCTTAACAGAGTTCCTTGTCCAAAAGACAGCCAATGAGGCTTCAACTACTAGAAAAACTGAGTATCGGAAGCTTTCACCACCAAAACACAAATTCAACCTCGGAAAAAAAATGGAACATCTATCTCTTTAGTTTTTCTAATAGATGATTTATAATTAATTCTAAAAGCTTAGTATATTTTGAATCAGAGATTGACAGTTGCGTTAATTTTGAAATAAAAAATCAGTGCTTCGTGTATCAAATCAAACAAAGTCCATGGGGATTTGTCCAATATGAGAGGTGCTCCATATAAAAACCACTCGCCAAAAGGTTCTGTGGTGCATCATATTGGAAATGAATATCATATTTTCAATTGAATTAGCCAGTAATTGACCAAAACACTATTCTAAGAAGAATTTCAGATGCTAGTAGTAACTTAATGGTAAAGTCAGCAGCTGCAGGGTAGAACAAAATAGATCAAATATTTAAAGTACAATACCAAGGTAGACGTTACAGTCCCTAAATCATGCGCCATATAGCTTCCCAATATCAACATTTAAACGATTGGGTTTCTCAACTACACTTCTTTGTATTTTGTTTTAACAACATCTACTTACCTTTTCTCAGTCGATCCCATTTGCCTAAGGAAGACAATGAAGAGAAATAATTTGAAGTAGTGGAACTGGCTATACTATTTTCTCACATGTTTATGCTCGTTTTTCTATCTCTTTCATAATTCTTTATTTCTCATTTATTTCCACTTTACTAACTTATTTCCACTTTACTAACTTATCTCCTTGTTGAGAAGTCTATCAAAACAAGACCTAAATCTCACCTAGCAGAAATCCGAAAGAAAACAGGACGCAGGTTTTTCAGACAATTTAGGGCCAGTAATAAACAGAGCACATGGTCCAAACAGAGCCAAATTTGCTAAAACAAAAGAAGAAATTGACAAATCTGGTCTAAATCTATAACTCGGGGTCGTTGGGGGAAATAACTAGCTTTACTAAGTTTAAAGTTATTGCTCATCAGTCTGGAAGTAGGATAATTATATTATTCTGAAAGTTGATACAGATGAATATCACAGTTCGTTCAGAAACAAAAGCATAGCATTGGCACGTGAATTATTCAATACTACAACCTACCTAGATAGCAAAGTGCCGAAGATGGAGACCATGGAAATGAAACAGCCAGCCATGTATTAAAATCACAACAACAGGAAAACTGGGAGAAGAAAGTATGCAAGCAAAATTGAAATTCCACATCGTTGTGAAAACAATTTCTCACATTACATAAAATTTCCCTAACGTTGTTAAAATAAGACAATAATTATACAGTCAATGCAGCTTAAACACGAAACAAGTGGTACAAATGCTCATCTAGAGATAAGCTTACCCATCCCATCACTCTCACCTGCAAAATCATCATCATCGCCGCCGCCGCCGCCGCCAATGCCACCACCTTTGTTGTTTTCGATATCCAACTGCTTGGGCTGGGCCGGAGCACTCACAGGCCCAGTAACGGACTGCTGATAGAGAACCCCTCCAACAATGGTGAAAAGCAAACAAACCAACCCAACAGGGCTAGCGTGCTTATCCCAAATGAGGACGTTGATCGCCACGGTGAGGAACTTGTTGACCACACCGGTGACGGTGAACGCCGTGGCCGAAACGGCCCTCCTAGCGGCGAAGCCAAAGAAACTGATGAGCAATCCGAAGAGGCAAGACAATGAGACAGCGTAGAAGGCAGCAGGGTCAAAGATGCCGGATCTAAGGGCGGCGAGAACCTGGACATTCTCCCCGGTGAGGAACCAGAAGAATGGCGCCATCATGAGGGAGAGCAGGTTGTTATACAAGACGAAGCCCCAGGTGTTGAGACCGAGGTTCATGACCATGTGTTTGATGTAGACCATCTCGGTGGTGATGGTGATGAGGTAGGCGAAGGCCCATGAGTAGGCGGTGAGGGTGAAGCCGGAGTCGGTGGCGACGTAGCCGACGGCGGAGGCGAGGATGAGGAGGAGGGAGAGGAAGGTGAGGTTGGAGGGGCAGGGCTGGCCACGGAAGGCCGTGTCGGCGAGGGCAACGAGGAGAGGGGTGAGGGAACGGAAGACGATGAAGGTGTCGACGTTGGCGTGGCGGAGGAGGTTGGTGTTGGTGAAGATGGCGAGGTAGAAGACGAGGGCGGCGGGGAAGAATTTCTTCGCGGTGGGGACTGTGAAGGGGTCATGGTGGAGAATCCCTAGCTTCCCCAGGACGTAGACGCCGAGCGCGGAGGTGAGGTATTGGAGGGCCGTTAAGAGTCCTGGGTAGTTGAATTTGGTGATGGCGTATTTGTTGATTATGGCGAGAAGGCTCGAACACAGTGCGTAACCCACCACCACCCCGCTCGTGCTGTAGTACTGCTGCTTCCACGAATCCAATCTACCCAACGACATTCTGAAGAAATAGAATCAGAAGAAGAAGAAGAAGAAGATTGCTGTGGAATGGGAATGGATCACCGACGCCCTAATATATAGATCTGAGAGTGTGTGAATGCTAATGGCTGTGGCATAGGACAATTATTTACTGCACCCTCTCAGCCACACTTATTTCTTCTTTCCCAGTTCAGACTTTGTATGGTACCATCCACGCAGAGGAAACAGATCTCCATATCTGCATACCTAAATTCCTATTATGTTTTTCTTTCCTTAACCAAAACACTTTTCCTTCTTTTCTTTTTTCTTTTTCTTTTCTTTCTTTTACTAATTCAAAATACCGGAATCAAGGAGTAATAGATTTTTGGAATTCCCTTTCCAACATATTTTTTATAAATCAAATAATACTATTTCAAGAAAAATAAAATCTACTTTTAATTACTATGGATTTTTATATTATCTTTTTCATCTTCATTCATCC